TTCCCAACAAGCGGAAAAGTAAAATCCAATTTGTGTCTTCACACACAACCTTTTTCTTGAACAAGGATTAAAGAAAAACTCGGTGAGTAGCTCCGACCAGCATATGTAGCCTTAGCGCTATTCTCCTTCTCTACAGTTCTCAACTCAAGTTCACAAGCACTAAACAATCTCATAGTGCCACCTACTGACATTCTTTGGGAACAGCAGTTCATTTTCATGAGGCAAATTTTAGGTGGGTTACAATAACTTTAGATATGTTAATATTTTCTTCCTCTTAATCCCGTTATTCAACCCCTTAACATTCCAGCTGGCTATTTTGAAATCTGTCTGTCTATCCATGTTATATGTTGTCTCCTTGACCTGGAGACAACATATAAGATGACACCGCCATGGACCTCAACCTGCAGGCTTTGTGTTACCCGTCTCTTTATACAGGAGCATGTAGGGGTGGACTGCCTTTTTATTTGATTACCCTTTTCTCATGTTTTTCTTAGTTAGGGACATTTTGGGGGACGTTATACTCTTACTTGTTAAACACATGCTCCCATCCACTCTCTTGGTCCAGAAGCTCCATAATCCAAGTGTCCCAACTCAGGTCTGATGGCATTTTTTCAGTGCTGTTTTTAACCTCTTGGGAACTTTCACTACATTCCTTACTTGATGCAGAAAGAAGAAACGAGTCAGGGATGCATAGCAAGCACAACAAAACACCAGCAGCCCAGACCTTTCACCAACTGAAGACATTTGCAGCACCATAAAACATGACAGAGAAGAGCTGGGACTATGTGAAAGGGTGAAGTGCTGCAGTCAAGTTGCAATGGTCCTATCTTTTATACAGTCTATGGTTCACTCTATTAAGATGTGATTATTTCCAAGGTCCATTTAGTTTTAGTTAGCTGAAGCTAAACCAGAAGTTAAAACGAGATGGTGAAAAACATTTTTAGTTAATGTTACGACTGTTGTCGTAATTAGAGATGGACCGATCCGATATTACGTATCGGTCCGATACTGACCTAAATTACTGGATCGGATATCGGAGAAAAATAAAAAATGTAATCCGATCCATTAAATATCACGAAAGCACCTCACAAAACTTGCAACACGCCGTAACTCACCTCAGAACGTTAGCACGTCAGAGCAGTATGCATCACGTGATAGAGCGGCTGTGGCATGCGGGACCTGTCGGTGGTCTGGATAGCATTTGGAGCTTCGCTAGCAACCCAGCATTTCATCTCCGACAAAGTTATCCCGAGAGAAGTAAAGCAAGTGTGTAAGTCCATCTCTGAATGTAAAGCATTCCTGCGTTAAGCTTAACAAGCGATATATGGAGCGACTGCCTCTCCTGCTGCTACTTCAATCATGAAACTGCTTAACGATCAGCTGATCGGCTTTTCTGTCGCGAGTCCGTCTCTCTAGTTTGTTTTTGGCCCACTTTGCACCAGAAAGAGGAAACCAGCAGCTGAACAACAGCAGCACGTTTAAGCTTGATCAGCTATTGTTAGAATGTATTTAATATTACTTTCTACTCCAGGATCTTTTTCTATGTAGCTGACGCTGGTAACTGTGCAGGGGCGCATCTAGCAAAGTTTAGCCAGGGGGGCCGATAGGGCATGAACAGGGAAAAGGGGGCACAAAGACATACTTTTCTTTCTTATTCTCATTTAAAATGTCTAGCTTTTAATAAATAATTATCTGACACCCAAAGTTTTAATTTGATGTAAAAGGAATAGAAGTCAATTACTGTATATAGTGACTATTAAGTCTAATATATATACCCTAGTAAGCTATAGTACTTTTTCCCTTTGGGAAGGTACCATCTGTGCAGTCTGCAATTTTGTTGAAGAAAGATGTTGAATCTATTTAATATTTCTTGAAAAATAATTGATTTCTGTGCATTTTTTTTCACACTGCATCAAATTAAGGTTGATTACGTCGATTAAGCATCATGAGGTGGAGCGTGAGGGGTGGTTCCCTATTTTTTATTTATTTATTTTTGTTGTTGCTGGGAGTTGGAACCCTATTAGTTAGGTTGCTTAATATTTATGCTAAGTACTCTTTAAAATACCAGAATAGGGAGGATGGTGTAGGTTTAAGTTTATTAGATTGATCAGTATTGCTGAACTATGAAATATTTTTTTTTGCATACAGGTATAACAGAATAGCTTTAGTGTAGTTGTTGTTTTAAACTTGAGTATGAACTTATACAAAATGCAGCAAGATATTTAAAAAACAGTTTTGTTGATTAAAAAACACTATATCGGATTCATATCGGTATCGGCAGATATCCAAATTTATGATATCGGTATCGGACATAAAAAAGTGGTATCGTGCCATCTCTAGTCGTAATGTTGTCTCATATGTAAATCTGAGTGTGCAGGTGCCTTTCCGTGATTGGTGCATCCATGGGACGACCCATACAGATTGGCTAATGACCTGGAGACAACATATAAGATGACACCGCCATGGACCTCAACCTGCAGGCTTTGTGTTACCCGTCTCTTTATACAGGAGCATGTAGGGGTGGACTGCCTTTTTATTTGATTACCCTTTTCTCATGTTTTTCTTAGTTAGGGAGATAAGACATTGTCATTTGGTTTTATTCTTTTCATAAATAAGTTTTGTACATCCTTTAGATACGGTCCCTTTTGTTTGTTGTTTTGGGGTCCACCCCGAAGCTATAGTTGCTCCTTTCCTTTGTTAGAATTCAATCACTGTGAAAAAAAATCACCATCAAAATTGTACTGGTTGTGTGATGTGCTGCTTGGGGTCAGACAGGGGTGGATCACCCTATATTATGGTCTGGCCACCCTTAGAAAGGCCATAACACTAAAATGAAAATTAAAACTAGACTTATAACTGGCTGGTGTCCTTACCAGTGACCTTGGGTCTGAACTGTGGGCTCCTCTTTCCAGGTGTTCGTACTGCCTGAGTGGGACCAAGATGTGCTGTCTTGCCTCTTTTGGGTTTTCTGCATGTTTCTGGCTCAACATGCAAGTATCCACTTCTTGACGTTCGCTGTTGGTTGCAGCCACTTGAGGTTTTTGGGCTCATTTGGGTTCTCAACACTGGGTGACTTTGATGGGAGTGAAAGCATCCTCACAACATAAATCACCACACTACCTGCTTTTGTTTCAGATTTTTTCTTTATCCTTGTTAACATGTTTGGGTACTGGGTTTACCTGTAATGCATTTTGTGCTCCAAAAGCTGTTATTTTGTGCAGCTGTGCTCCAAAAGCTGTTAGCATGACCTTTTTTTTTATCATTAGATTGTGCCACACCAGCACCTGAGAGAAAAGCTTTGAGTTTGATTTTGTGTTTGTGTTTTGCAGGCACTCAGGAGAATAAGTCATGATGTTTCTTGTGTTTGTCATGTTAGTATCTCAGTGCTTGTCAATCACCAGTCAACAGTGTCACCACTGTGAACAACATCCTTCGACTGTTCGAGCCAAAACCTTGGAGAAGTCCCTGCAGCCGCTTCAAAACTCATCACTGAGCTCGATCTCTCTTTTAACACGCTGGAGACAACAATGAAAGATGACTTTCTTTCATATGCTGCTTTGACGGCTTTGTTCGTGAATAACAACAGAATCAAAACCATCCATGAAGAGACATTTCACCCGCTGATTAATTTGGAGAAACTGGACTTCCACAAACCAGTTGGAGACTTTGTCCTCTGGATGGTTTCAGAACCTGATTTCTCTCCACTAGTTCAATCTTTTGGGAAACAAATATACAACACTGGGTCCGGGAAACCTTTTCCTGCCACTGAGGAGCTTGAAGACCCTCCATTTTTGAGGAGCTTTCCTTCAGTCTGTCAGTGAAAGGGATTTTGTTGAACCTTGAAACTGCCGTGACCCTGTCCAAAGACCAGCTGGCCACCTGGCCGGGTCAGTCATGGATATTCACAAATACCCCATAGTACTGGTGGAAAAGACATATCGAGGGAAAATCCATGTTCAGACCATGTTCAGTGTGTCGTGACACTTGCACGATGGAAGAACACACCCACTTGTTGGTGCCAGAAGAGCCACTGAGAAATTATTGTTTTAGCTGGCTCATTACAAGTCGATGGCTGCTCACCTGGAGTAGGATAAAACTCTGGAGCGAATAATTGCCCGATTTTACTGGACAGGAAACTGTTTTAGACTTAGAGCTTTTTATTGTCATTGTGCAGTTTCTTGCACAGTGAAATTGGGTAAGTGGAGAGCATAGAGCCGCTGTATCTGTGCGCACCACCATCTTGCATTTTTTGCATGTTTGGCTGGTGTCACTTTTGGACTTTGCTACCTGTAGCTAAACATTTGCAGCTAAATCATTTATTTAAAAGCAGAAGCTGCAACTGATCGAGGGAATATTTGTCTGAAAACTTAAACTGAACTCCAAGGGTACCATTGCTCCAGCTCACCATCTTTACCTGAGTGAATCAGTTTGTTGAACAATCTAAATGATTCAGAAACTTCTGTGACATCAACTTAACTAAGGCTCATTACAAGATTCACAAAACACTGCTGAATACTTTTAATATTTTTTTATTAGTTATTTTTGTTTTTGTTGTTATTTTGATTTTAATAAAACAAAATAAAATAAAGAATTAAATCATTTCTTTGGTTTTTTTTATTTAATTTATTTTACAAATAAATTAATAATAATATTAATAATAATAACAACAAATTAGTGCTGTCAGCGTTAACGTCATTTTACTTAATGACGTTAACGCTGACAGCACTAATTTGTTGTTCCCAGAGAGCAAGCCAAACACTGGTCCAGAAAAGGACGATCTCTAGTAGATTTTGTTTTAACCTCCTAGGACCTGGTGTCCACATATGTAGACATAACATTTTGGGTTGTCTAGACCAAAATACAAAATTTTGCTCTTCAAAAACCTGATATCCACTTATGAGGGAGGACATGACACTGCCACTGTTCAATCGAAATTTAAAATGAATGTCCTCATATGTGGATCTCATTCTTTTGAGAAACAAAAAAAAGATAGTCGAATCTGATGTCTTGGTTTTTACCTTCATCGGGTCCCAATCAACCTAAATGGCACAGAGGAATTAAAAATGCATGCCATGAAAGTTCAGGTCTTAGGAGGTTAAAAATGTCCCTGCTGATGAGACCAGTGAATGTGGGGCGACGGTGGCAAGAAAAAACTCCCTCCTGGAGGAAGAAATCTTGGGAGGACCAGGCTCTCTGGCAGGACCCTCCCTCCTGAGGGCAATACTTACCTATACTTGTCCTCCAGTGTGCGATGGTGGGCTGGGACGACTGCTTTTCCTTCTCAGCATGATGATGACCTTAACTTCCTTCCTTCCTTCCATTTCCTGTTTCAGAACTGAGAATGAAGACAAAACTGGTTAACAAGGTAACAGGACATTTAAAAATTCTCTCACTTCAGGATGAGATGCTGTGTCTTCTTACGTTTCTCTTGTAAAACAGGATGTAGGCCGACTGCTGCTGTTCCTCACAAACTGCAGATCCAGTTGTGTGGAGCACCTGTGCGTCATTATAGGTGAGCCAGCGATCTGATGTAGAGTGCTGACTCTCCTCAGGATGGACAGAACTACAGATGTAGTGTCCTGAAATCACATTAAGACAAATGAATCCAACTTCTGGAAGTCAACTGATTCAAGCAAACAGTGATTTTGACTTAGTGCTTCTTAGAACATCAAAAGCTTTTGTGTGTGAGTCCTTCACTGAAAAGTAGCAAGTTTCATTTTCTGTTTGTCACAAGTCTGTTGTTTTACCTGACTCTGTGCCTCCATAATGACTGATGATGCTGCAAAGACTATAACAGCCACCACCCTGAGAAGGAACAAATCCAAAGAGTGTTAGTTTCATAAAGTCTCACATCAGTGCCATAATTAAGCTGATTTGCTGAGGCTACGTCCACACTAATGCGTTTTCGTTTGAAAACGCATCGTTTTCTCTCCGCTTTGACCTCCCGTCCACACCGAGACGGCGTTTTCCTCAAGGAAAAACACAGCATCTTGAAAACGCTCTCGAAAACGCATACATTTCAAAACGGAGTTGTCCCATCGCAGTGTGGACACTCGAAAACGCAGACTTTCTAAAACGATGACGCATTTTGGTCATGTGATGCAGTCATGTGAGCAATTAAACAAAGATAAGCCGAGTGCATTAGACAGCAGTTGTTTTGATTGCTCTCAACTTTGACAGCCCTAAAAAAGATTAATATCAGTTTGTACATGCTCCGGATAGCTTTTCTTCAAATTCTGTAATTCTCACTCACTTTTGCGCATGCGCAGGACTGGAACGTAAGCGTTTTCGGCCGTTTCAATGCAGACGCACAACTATTTGAAAATGACTGAAAACGCCAGTGTGGACACGGAGTTTTCAAATCTATCCGGGCTAGTGTGGACGTAGCCTGAGACGTTCTGCAGTCTGTTTTTACCTGATTGGATGGCACCACCAAGTCCCTCTGCAGCCTGACGGGGTCATCCACCTTCTTAATCTTGTAGGTTTGTGTAAAGCCAAACCTCTTCAGATGCAAGATCAGAACTCTGGCAGAAAAGAAAAAAAACACAAACAAGGTAGAAAATAAGAAGAATGAGTGTCAAACACAAACAGAAGATGGGAGAAAACGACTGCTCAAGTATTGTCTCGAAGAACTCTGATATTTGATGCGCCACAGTTTGGAAACCTGGTCAGTCGATCAATTCTGATGTGACCTTACTCACCTTGGCAGTGTATCAAAAGACGACTTCAGTTCTGAGGCCGTCCCTCCACAATCACAGCGAAATTCTATTTCTTGTTCCTGAGCAACAGCACAGAGAAAACAGGCTTTATGGTAGAAAGAAATCTCAACATATGCACACACACATGCACACAAACACTAACAAAAAAGGTGTGTTAAGATCGCTGATACGACAACTCTATTGGAATTTGTGATCTTACCTTCAAGTATGTCTCTAACATGTTTATAATAGACCCCTCTGGAACAAGGTCTAGAGACAAGCTGGTGAATTCCTCTTGCTGTGATGATTGGTGACCGCAGCTACACATTTCAGGAGTAACGTAGTTAAAGTAAAGATCAGGTACGTGGAAAAGAGGTATATGAAAATATTGCAACCAGCTCTGCGTTTCTGAAAGACAGGCTTACCTCTTGCATGTCCTCATGTTTTCCATTTTAAAAATGTGATGGTCTTCTACTGGGCAGCTATAACTTTGGCCCAGGAGAGCTGCGTTCCTCTCCAGGTGAGGTGTGAGCCTTTTGACCTCATCGAGGAATAATGTTAGGAATTCATGAGCGTCCTGAAAGAAAAGCAGAGAGATTTAAAACAGTACATCAAAATCAGAAGGTAAAGCAAAAAACGAAATGTCCAAATAGCTGACGCACTTTCTGTGCACTGCCGGTGTATTCAGGAGCTTGACTGCTGAATGCCTTCTTAAAAGCTCTTAGGTGGTGATCTTTAAGGCCATAATCTGTTGACTGTGACAGTCCCTGACATCAATAAGCCTTCTGTAGAAAGGAAGGGTAAACAGACATTTCTGCTGTTAGATCTCTTTGTTCTTCAGGTTTTTGAAGAAAGTAGAAGGTTGACGTAGCGCACCTTAAGAGCTGAGCTTCTGGATCTGTGCTCCACAAAACCCCCTGACGCCTGATGTCTCTTATGAACTCCTCAATGTTGAGGAGGCTCTGCAGGCAGGAGTTCATGTAGCAGGTGTTTCCGATGTTTGGAAACCTGACACACACGCGCAACGTTTACAGTATCAGTGTAAAATAATTCATTTTCTCCACTTTGACAAAGTGAGTCTTTGTGCACCACGTGTACTCACCCGAAGCAGTCTATAGTCCCAGTTTGACTTTCTATTTTTTTCCCACCGCATGCTACACTGCTCCAAAAAGGTAAAAACACAAACACAAAATTAGGAAAGATGTCAAGATTCTGAGCAGTGTATGCGCATGTATGCATGAGCTTTGAAGTTGAAACATTTTGGAGGACGTCCAAAAGTAGTAAAAAAGATGTAAATACACAAGGTGGAAGAAAAATGCCAATAAAAGGGAAATAAAACAGCTCCAACTAAACCACTGCTATAAATATCTCCAGCAGCATTAAAGAGCGGCGCATTTCTTTACCTCTGATGAGACGTAGAAGGAATTTCCTTCTCTGCCACGTTTTGTTTGTGTAATTTCTGTTTAGAAACAAGAAAACCAACATCAGTAATGGCATAAAACAAACATACCAAGGGAGTCTCTCCATGAAAAGTGTCCAGTTAGAAAATTTGGTATTATTTCATATTATTTATCACTTCAGTGAGCTGTCAGCTCATGAAGCAGATATATAGGAATATCTTTAAATAAATTAAAAACAATTTATTCATGCTTTAAATTGAGTTTTAAAGTTTGTCCTATGAAATACAAAATCCTTCATTTGGTTCTGATCAAAATTCAGTTTTTACAGAAATCATCCATCAAGCTTCATTAAAAGATTCAAAAATGCTTATTTACCATAAAAAATATTTAGAGAAACATCCTGCAAGTCTCTTCAAACTTACCTTTCTGTGAAAAAAAAAACGTTTAAACATCTTTGAACTTAATTTGAGGACATGGATGTGCTAAATTGCTCTTAATTCTTCGCATTTAACTGTGGTGAGTAAATGCTTGATGACAGTGACTCTTTCCATAAAACATACCTTCCAGAATTTAAAAAGAAACCAGCGACACTTTTTTTGTGTCTTCACAGTGTTGCTCTCTGCCTCTGCATCGCTGTCAGTTTGCTGCAGAGGACGAACAAACATAAGTTTATTAAAAAAGTAAAGTCACTTTAAATTAACAAGTGCAATTTAAAGAGAATGTGCATTTCATATGTTTCGTGTAAAAGCAAACCGAGGAACAGCAGAGGTGTCTCCATTTTCTCTTCTTCTTTTGACCATTTTCAGCAACACAAGCATCCGGGATGCTGATGAGGACAAAAGTGTAAATGTTATTTTTCAAAGTGGAAATTTTTAACAAGGAGTACATGCTGGAGATTGCAGATAAAAATTAATAACTGTAATGGAACAAAATCATGTATTTTGTACATTTACACTCTACATTTTCAAACGCTAATCTCTGAATCAATAGAAATTATAGACAAGACTAGAAGTAGTAAAAAAGATGTAAATACAAAACACCAATAAAAGGGAAATAAAACAGCTCCAACTAAACCACTGCTATAAATATCTCCAGCAGCATTAAAGAGCGGCGCATTTCTTTACCTCTGATGAGACGTAGAAGGAATTTCCTTCTCTGCCACGTTTTGTTTGTGTGATTTCTGTTTAGAAACAAGAAAAGCAACATCAGTAATGGCATAAAACAAAGTATATGGTAAGAAAATACAATATCCTTCATTTGGATTCAAAATTCAGTTTTTACAGAAATCATTCAAGAAGCTTCCTTAAAAGTTTCAAAAATGCTTATTTACCATAAGAAAACATTCAGAGAAATGTGCTGCGAGTCTCTTCAAACTTACCTTTCTGTGAAAAAGAAGTTTAAACATCTTTGGACTTGATGTGATCGCAGCCAAAATCTCCTCAGCTTTGCAAAAGTTCAACTGAAAACAAGCAGTCAAAGGTTGTATATTTATAAACTTTCAGCATAGAACGTTCATACCCTGAACAGCAAACATCAGCATTATGATGTATGGGGCTCATTTGCATATTTTGGAATGTATGCTCATTTGAACTGTATGGTGCTCGTCTCCAAGCAACTGCTACAAAAACAGGTCAAGTCAAGTGGCTTTTATTGTCATTTTAACCACGTGCAGAGGTACTGTACAGAGTGAAATGAGACCGCGTTCCTCCGAGACCCTGGTGCTATATATGACATATACGGACAAACCCAGGACTACATAAAGTGCAGTGTGCATAAATTGCAAAAATAAACAAGACAAAACAGTGCAAAACTAGACAGAACAGGACGATACAGACACAAGACAATGGAAATGTGCAAAATGCTGAGTATTGTGCAAAAGTAACTTGGTGTCTGTATGTATGTGTATGAGTGTGAGATACTGCAGATAAGTGCTTGGTAGTGACATGTGTGAAGGTGTGCGTGTGCCAGTGCAGTCACTGAGTGTTCAGGGGTCTGACGGCTTGTGGGAAGAAACTTTTCCGTAGTTTGGTAGCGAGGGCCCGGATGTTGTGGGACCTCTTTCCAGAAGGCAGCAGGGTGAAGAGTGTGTTTGAAGGCTGTGTGGGGTCCTCCAGCAAGCGGGTGTTATAAGGAGGGGAGAGGGACTCCAATGATCTTCTCAGCTGCTCTCACAATCCGTTGTAGGGTACTGCGATCTAATACGCTGCAGTTACCATACCAGACAGTGATGCAGCTACTTAGGATGCTCTTGTTAGTCCCACTGTAAAAGGTGGTGAGAATGGATGGTGGGAGATGGGCTTTCCTCAGCTTCTGCTTGAAGTAGAGACGCTGCTGGGCCTTCTTGGTTATGGAGCTGGTGTTGAGGGAGCAGGAGAGGTTCTCCGCCAGGTGGACACCAAGAAATCTGGTGCTCTTGACGACCTCCACAGAGGATCCATTCATGTTAAGTGGGCAGTGATCCCACTGTGCTCTCCTGAAGTCAACAATCTCTTTTGTTTTGTCCACGTTCACAGACAGGTTGTTGACTCTACACCTCTACAGATGGCCCGCAGTGCAACCCTTCAGCTTCCTACTAGATTCACCTATATACAAATTTAAAGACCTAGGAGACTTACTTCTCGTCACAGAGTTGTAGCATTCACAAGATTTTCAGAAAACTTGAACTCAAGGTCAAGGTCACTGATATTCAAACTGACCCCAGAACTTTAGTAGATGCACCAATGGTATCAATTCAAAATCCTACGCTTCTCGTTCCATTTTTATTTCACTATCTGTAACTAAGACAAATAAACAGTATTTGAGACACAAGTCACTATTAAAGTGGTTAGTGAGACTCCACATCTGATAACAGTATAACACACTGCTTATTTATGTAAAATTGTCATCAATAAATGTGTTCAAAACAGAAGCTACACTGGCTTTAAAAGTTTTTGTTAACTCTGACTACCTGTCTGCTCTTACCTGTTTCTTTTGCTCTCTGCTGTCTTCATCCTCCATCCAACTCTACATTGTTGGCGTGCCATTCTCTCACTTCAGGATGAGATGCTGTGTCTTCTTACGTTAATCTTGTAAAACAGGATGTAGGCTGAGTGCTGCTGTTCCTCACAAGCTGCGGATCTAGTTGTGTGCAGCACCTGTGCGTCATTATAGGTGAGCCAAGGATCTGATGTAGAGTGTGGACTCTCCTCAGGACGGACAGAATTACAGATGCAGCAGCTGTTTCCGATGTATGGAAACCTGACACACAAACAAAAGTTTACAGTATCAGTGTAAAATAATTCATTTTGTCCAGGTTGAGAAGGTGAGATTTGGTCCTTGTGCACCACGTGTACTCACCTGAAGCCGTCTGTAGTCTGAATTTTATTTTCCATTATTTATCCACCGCCCAAATGTTTCACTGCGCTACTGCAAAAAGATAAAAACACAAACACACAATTAGACACTGAGCACTGGATGTGCATGCATGCATGAGCTTTGAAGTTTAAACTTTTTTTTATCATCAACAATTTTTATTTATTTCATTTTAAACTTCAATAACAGAGCTTAAGGATAACTACATAAATAAATAGTTTAAAAAACAAACAAACAAAAACAAAACACAACAACAAAAAACAAAACAAAGGGAAGTTATCCTATTCTTTCTTCGCACACCAATTCCCACACCACCACTCTGTCATTACTCCTCTGTTCTTCAAGTTACAGAAAGCCAGCTTGTAAAGGGGGACCAAATACAATCATATTGATGCAATTTGTCTAAAAGGTTATTAAGAATGCAAAGCTGCAATTTGTGCCGTCAAACCCCAATGTTAAGACGTCGTCGCATGCTAAAGTCAGTGACCATGGCTATGCTAGCACTGAAGCTGCCAACGTGGGCTTAAACAAGCGAGAACGGGGAGCAGACTCGGCGCCGCCAACTCCATCAAAACAACCGCCAGAGGAGAAAAGAACAAAATCTTCAGAGAAGGAAGATGATATCTCCAATAAAACTATTTTTGAAGCCATTATGGGACTTGACAAAAAATTTGAAGCACAACTGGAGGATATCAAGGAACAAAACAGACAAAGTGCAGCTATGGTTGCCAGCTTGGCTAAGGCTGTAGAGTTTAAAACTTAAATGTTCCTGGGTAGGTAAAGTCTTTTCCAGTCCTGGAACTGGTAAAAGTAGGGGAGTGTCGGTTCTGATTCATAAAGCAGTTAGCTTTACTGAAACAAAAGTAATAACAGATAAGGAAGGTAGATTTATATTGGTTTATGGACAACTACTGGACACACCAATAATTTTATGTAATATCTATGCACCTAATGCGGACATACTCACCTTTTTTCATAACCTGTCACAGTATCTTTTGGAATTAGAAGGTGCACAAATAGTGGTAGGAAGAGATTTTAATCAAATACTGGATCAAGACCTAGATAGATCGCTTCCTAGGACAGGCACAGAGAGTAAATCTGTAGTTGCCATAAGGCAGATGACCTCAGGTTTAGGTCTGAATGATATTTGGCGGACAATGCATCCAGAAGGCAGGGAATATTCCTTTTACTCTCCGCCTCATAATGTTTATACTAGAATCGACTACTTTCTTATTTCTGAAGCCTTAGTGAATAACTCTATAGATTCAAGTATTGGTAACTAAGCTGTAGTGCCTCTTCACCTCACTGTGCAATACCTTTTGTGCAATACTTTTGTAAATAGTCAACGGTGCAATAGACTCAATACTTGAAATGTGCAATTCTTGAAATGTGCAATTCACTTGTATTTTTATTTTTATTCCTATTTATTCTATTTATCCCCTTCGTATATTTTATTTATATTGTCTCTGTATATATATATACAGTTCGATACTTTGGTGTCACGGTTCGATATTTTTTCGATACAAAAAAAATGTTCATGCCTTTTTAATTTGTCATTTATTAAAATTATAAATATATATTTTAACTCAAAAGTACAGTTTTTAAATTTAACTCTAACCCTTGTGCGCGTTTTTTATTTTGACAGCGAATGCGCACCTGCGGACCACTTATGTGCAGCCCTGGTTATTTAGCTCGTCATATCGCAGCCACAGAAATTCTTTTGTCCATGAAACCATAAAGCTGCACTTTCTTTTTGCCTTATAGTCTGATTTGTCATAACTTCTCAGTTTTGTGGTAAGCTTTTCTTTGGCTGTCACTTCTTCACCCTGACCTGTCTTATTTGGCTCAGCAGAACTAAAATATATATATCTTGCTGCTTTTACACACGCACTCACATAAGCTCAGCGATTCTCTGCGTGATCAACCTCTCACATGTTTAAGCTTGCTGCGGGAGATTTCACTTGTCATGTTTGCATAGTAAGCTAACGATTAATAAGACGATGTCAGAGGAATTGGTGCACAAATTATCATCACTCACAGATCAGTGCTGTCGCCCCGGGACGTCGGGCTAGCGATATTGCAAGCCCTGTATCTGATTGAGGAATCACTCATCTTTGGAAAAGAGAGTTTATTACAGAGAAATGTCTCTTTCCAAAATAAAAGCTATACTATCCGCTTCTTCTGGGCTATATTCTCAGCAGCATAAGGAGAATCATGTGCTAACAGCTGTCTAAATGACTCGGCTAAAGTTAGTAGCATGCTTGTTGTTTTTGTCTTTGCACTAAGATGATGTAAATGTGCAGTCATATTCGTTGTGTTCCCACTAGTGCTTTCAGGTTAATCTCGTTGAAATGACCTTAACGCCACAACACGGCAAATCTCCGTTAACGAGCTACCGCCGATTGCCCCGTGCATGGGGCTAGACGGCCAACACGTTAACGAGCTAACTGCGCTAACACACTAGTTCCCACCCATGTAATTGAGCATTGCATGGCGCATCCAACATACTGTTTTACTTTAGTCCATGACTCGCTTACGTTCAGGGTCATACGTCACATGAAAACCAAAATAATTCCAAAGGCCAGATCTGAATGAGAGTGGGGAACGTCCATGTTGCAAGGAGAGCTTAACTTCTGTCTTGCTAGCTTGCCCTGCGCTCTTCCTTCTGACGATGCTGTCTGTGTTGAGCGCTCAGTGAATCTGCGTTCGACTGCTCCGCCTAGGGTCGACAGTGCAGCCTAGGCGGAGTAGTCGAACGCAGATTCACTGAGCGCTCCACACAGACAGCATCGTCAGAAGGAAAGTTGATAAAATAAATTACAAATGTTGTATTGTTCGATACATATGCGTACCGAACCGAAAGCACTGTATCGAACGGTTCAATATCGATACGAATATCGTTGCACCCCTAATATATATATATATAATATTCTGTAACTCTGTAACTTCTGTCGGTGCTGTGCTTTTTTGGAAATCGAATTTCCCAGAGGAACCCACCCGAGGGATTAATAAAGTTCTATCTAATCTAATCTAATCTAATATAGTATTCTCGGACCATGTGCCAATTTTTCTATGTCTTGAAAATATTTTACAGATTCCTCAAAGCCGCAGATAGCATTTAAATGTGTCCTTAATTAAAGACTCTGGGTTTATTAAATTGATAAGCGATGAAATACAATTTTACAAACAGACAAATAATCGAGAGGACACTACATTGGCTACTTGGTGGGATGCTGTTAGGGAAAATATTCTAAAACACTTCTTCAGTAAAGACTCAGAGAAGAGAAACACACAGAACTTCTTGCTAGCAAGGGCAGCCTCCAGACTGAGACTCGCGCTGAGCTTTGCCCTTGTCTTTATTTTATACTTCAGTGTGTGTGTGTGTGTTACTGCTTGTCAAAGGGTCATATACATAAAAGCACAAAAGGTACATCCTTGGTCACAAAGAGGGTAGTCTCCCCCACCCTAGATGGTTCACCCTAGATAACACGGTGGGGAAGTCCAGCAGTTCATCTAAACAAAAGGCACTTAGACTAAAACAGACATAGCTATGTTAAAACAATAAAACAAGGTGCAACCTCTCATGCTCCCAGGACGTGGGGGTGCATTCCTGGGGTGCACACCAAGCCTGCAGCCTGTTAGAGATCACACATCCTGTCACTACACAATTAATTATATGCCTCTAAGCATACATGGTTAAATATTTCCTAATACAAATAACTACAAGCAGTATTCTACCATATGCAAACTTATATCACTAAAAGATTATACTGACTACTAAATACAATTTTCCATTGACAGATGCTATGAAGGCATACTTAAGGCGGAGGACAATTTCTTACGCTTCCTTTAAAAAGAAGGCAGCTAACAAGAATATCATTACGTTAGAAGCCAAATTAAAGGCACTTGAGGCAGTACATTCCCATACAAAAGACAGAGTTACGTTGAATAAAATTGTTAAAGTTAAATATAAGTTGAATGTACTGTACAACAGAAAGGCAGAATACGCTTTATTTCGCATTAATCAAGCATATTGGGAAATGGGAGAAAAGCCAAGTCGTTTATTAGCATACCGTCTTAAACAGAAAGAC